CGTTTCGAGCGTTAGCCCTTCATCGGAACGAAAATAATTTACCCGAGATCTTGTTCTAAATTGATTTATGATTAAAATGGAATGGAAAGTATCTATGAGGGTAGTGCACAACTATTCAATTCCAAAATAGTGTGCTAGAGGGCGGTTGAACTCGGGTCTGGTATTTGCAATTTCAATAATATATCAATTTAGCGATATTTCGTTGAACCGAAATATCGTGTTGATGTACCGCGCACACCACAATGCATCCTTGTTTCGATGTTTCGTCTGATCGATCTATGGCTGGAAGGGGATATCGCTGAATATTTCGTCGATTTACCAATGTAAATTTGCGATAAAATGCGCCATATATCGGTTATATCTCATGCAAAGGATAAATTCGACGATATTCGACGAAAATCATTTGGCTGCATTACTCTTGTATATATTTGTTCGCGGCCAAAGGATTTAAAATTTAGGGAACCAAAGTAGTCATGAAAACGGAGATATCCATTTACCTCTGCTCATTGTTAACATGCAAAGAATAGCTGCCGTTGGCATGGAATGAGAAGCTCAGAACACTTTCATTTTTATAGTTGTGCAGCGAGAAAACTGTTGACCAGCCTGAGGTTTCTTCCGTCTTAATCCACCAACAAGCTGTGGCATCTTGAAGGTCAGTGATGCGGGGAAGCAGCACAAAGTCTGATGACTCGCCACTAAAGATCAGTTCATACGACCATTGACGTTCTGTAAACGACAGAAAGAAAGATGATCGAATATTAACTAATAGCCACCTTCATTTTGGTGAATAGTTGGTAAATACAATGTACTACTAGTGTTCGATCGTGTAGGTTTGCATTTTTGCTGATGTTTTAAGTTTTCTATCGCAATGGATTCTATAAAACGTTATCTAAATTATAATAGCCTAAGGGATGGAAAGACAAGAAATGTCAAGATGAAATGACTTCCTCCGGATAAAAAGATTTCTTAAACCCCTGGGCGTTCGTATCTGTCTAAAGCCTCTTAAAAATTTAAACCTAGGCTAAGGGTCGTTTAAGCTAATGAACGTCTCCAAACATCATTTTTCTGCAATGTTACCTCGACGAGGTTTCACTTTCATCGAGGATTCCTTGAGAGAATGATAATATCCCTTCCAGTGAAACCAAATAACACCTTGGGCATATTCACTGACTCCATATTGACCATTTAAGTTTGATTCGTGGCATGCTTTGTACCACCAAGCACCTGTGTATCTTTGTGCACAAGTATAGGGGTCGTTAATGTCATTATCTGAATCCGGCGTGCTGAACATCATTCCGTTGTGGATAGCCAGGGAATCCCCTGCTGTTCCAGAGAACTCTGTTACTCTAACAACATACTTCTCAGCTTCTAAACCCACTTGAAAAGAATTATAAGACGCATGCGCTATCAAGTTAGCTTGGTCTTTGAGCTCGATTAAAAGCTGTGAGCTTTGTGAAGTTATCTTGTTGATGTTGTCATTTCCTAGCCAAAATTCTGACGTTAAGTTTCCAAATCCATTTTTGTAACTAGTCCAATTACGATAAAAGTCAACAGAGCCATCCAAACGCTGTTGTAAGACAGTCCAGCCGCCTCCATTTGTTCTCTGGTCGCAGAAGACTGTTAAAAATCCTCCTCCGTCTGGATTTATGCCATAGACCCCATTCTCAGTGTAACCTTTGTGAAGCAGATCTAAGCAGTCGTGTCCGTGTACTGCAGAAGTAAAGACGAGTAAAATCAGGAATGAAAGATGGAGGTCTTAATCTAGAAATCGGTGTCCTTTAATTAGCAGTGTGCTGTATATACTGAATGACGTAGGCACGGTTAAGGGAGCTAATACATGGTAAAATTAGTGGCCTGAGGAGTAAGTAACCTCTCAGTTTGTGCATTTTAGAATTTTTAACTCAAAATAGTCAAATTCTTCGATGGAATCCATTGTAATCCTTTCTATATTCAGCTGCCCTAGTTTTATCGTGTTTTGGTTTTGTCTTTTTCGTGTTTTTGTGTCTAATTGGGAAATAGCGCTTCATGAAAATTTTTGCTAAGTGGCTCCTTGTAAAGACTGAGGTTTTATTAAATGGCGACTTGCGTTACATGTTTGCCTGATTGGAGGATCCTAGATCGTGTTAATATTACTTGTGCGTTTATGTTTGGTATTTTCTGACCTTTCATTGACGGTAATCTGGCCGGCTTACTCGCTTTATGTGTAAAAGGCACCCTACTCTATATTCTTACCCGAAAGGAGTTTACTTGCGATTTTAAAAACAACTCCAGCTCTAGATAGAGCGACCATTCCTGCTTGCAATAATAGATTCTTTATCACCAATACAGAAAAACAAGGGAATTTACGAGTCTTAGAGAGCTATGAAATTAAAAAAACTCACCTACAGGTACAGGGTTGAAAATTATCAAAAATCCTCTGCTCTCTATACTGTAGTCTGTGTGGAATTTGATGAGTATATGCTGACCGGTTACCATGATCGTTTCCCCAGTCTTTTCGCCACAGAACTTGCTATAAACATGGTTGGTGTCATTTGCAATGGTGAGGTAATCATAACTACAAGAAAATAAAACGGCTCTACCTTAAGGAATTTATTAACATTCACACAAGCTCAATGAGCTCATGACGTTTCTAATTATCCATAGTTGAGCATGAACAAGTTTGTAATGTAACAACGTGACAATGTACCCCTACTCAGTGAAGACTTGGACACGTAATTAAGGCCGGTTGATGTTGGACTGAGATTTTCATTGGCACTCCGTACTCCTTTTGGCCTATCACTTCTCCAAGTTTGGAATGTGGACCAAAAGATTCAGGTTCAAGCCCCGTGAAAGTTTTTGAAAATGTTGCATTTCTCTGCAAGGCGAGTTTTATTGTTGTCATTCTGTTAATCTTGATTGATGCGATCAAAGAATTGCCATTGAACACTGATAAACCAAGTGATTCTGAATGATCGTTGGATCGATTGGTCATTGATTGATTAATTAATGGGTTAATTTTTTGGTGAGAAAATCACTTTTTTGTTTCTCAAATTCCCTGGGCTGTTTCTTTATAGACATAATTTGAATATATCAACAAAGTTGAAATGGTAAATTGGCCACCGTTACGGCTATAAAAGCTGACGTTTTAACGTAAAGTAACGGTGGCCAATCTACCATTTCAACTTTATTGATATATTCAAATTATTTCGTTACTCCCACCGACGCAGCGCCAAACATTTTCTTTAGAAACTATCAGCCTTTATCTTTATAGACATCCCTACTAACGACAACTACCTGCACAAATTGCTTAACTCCAAGGAAAAATCGATAAAGGAAATATTCATCGCCGTGCGTCTTGGAATAGGAATTTGATAAACACAATCCTGTCTTGCTGTGTAATTATTTGGATATCCAGGACTTCTCAGTGTTTTGTCTACCACTGATTCACAAACTGAAAGAAAGTAAATCACGAAAAATACCCAGGCAGTTCAAAAGTGTAGTTATAGTAGCCAAGTCTTGAAATGGAATATCCAGGGCAAACCTAAAAAGCGACCGGCCAAAACTCAGGAAGCCACTTGTTCAGTCTGAGATGATGAACTAGGGCTGTGCCTAGACGGCACTCGAAAGGCTCTAACCCAGGACAGGACGAGGTGGAGAAGAGATATCGTCTACGGCCTATGTTCCCGGATGAGCTGAGGGCATGACTAACCTACTAAATGATATCATATTCGTCCCCAACTCCTAGATGACTATATTTTTAAACATCTCAAGAACTCTGATTTCTCACATCACCTTCCATCTGACTTCGGTCATGTTTCTCTTGGCTCTCAACAAATTTAGATTTAAATGACTTATAAAACGATTCGAGGGAGCTGTTCTTTTACCTGCGCCCAATATGCCGGCAAGTTAGTTTATTCATTTTTTTTTTTCATTAAAAAATATTATTATCTCTATCATTACTTCACTACCCCTTCTCCTCCTTTTACTCTTTCCCCTGCGTATAATTTCCACTGATGCATTAATCCAAAGTACTTCGAGTGTTTCTCTTTGTAAAAACACCAAATACAACCATAATTTGATTGACCCTTGCAAAACCTCTCCTTGATTTGGTGTTACATTCTGTTCGGCGTTCTTGCTTTCCGAGACCGCACAACCGGTTTCATATGGAAACTTAAACATAAAGGTTAAATAATAACTAACTTGCTGTGTAGTATATCAGAAATCCTTTTCTCTGTAAAGCGTAATCCGAGTGGAATGCAACGATTGCCTTTTCTCCAGTCACGGTAATGGAGCGTGATGCGATTTGCCCGCAGAATGTGCCAAATGTTTGGTTTTTCTCATTGGAAATCTTCAGGTAGTCTGCAGAGCTGCAGAAGAGGATAATTAGAGTTCGACCTTCAAACTTGCTGGCTCACGGCAAATGTTGGTTTTGTACTTACCAAAGCGAACTTTCCTCAAGGTGAAAATCTTGAAAGGTGAATTTTAAGGCCTTGTAATGGAGAACGGGAATTTCGTAGACACAATCCATATTTCCCGGATAATCTTTGGGATAGCTGGGACTTTTAAGTGAGTTATATGCCACCACTTGACAATCTTGAGATAATGAAATAATGATATATCCGTCATGATCTTGAACATATAGGGAGTTAATGTATCAAATTTTGTCATGAGGATAAAGTACGATCTTCCAAATGATGCCTCGTCAGTGCACCAGAGGTAGAAGTGTTGTCCCACACTCCTGTAAAGCGTGATAACATCGATTCGTACCTCCCATTCACGATTCGTACGAAGCAAACGATTCGACAAATCGTCCAAGGTACCCTTTACATACAACTCTCCCCAATATTGTAAGAACCACATTTCACGACTCAACTACGAGTCGTTAACTGATCTTCACGATTTTTCGATTCAAACAGATCGGACAAACGTTAATTTGAGTTGTATCAACTTAGTCAGTCATTTTAGTGTCTGTTCTCCAAAGGATTACAAGTAATAACCGATCAAAATGATGCGTGTATAACTCAGTCCCTGATAGATACAGTACCTGGACATCCGTAAAGCTCTGCTCTCATTGAGATCTCATTGTAATATTGTTTTGGGTAAAAACGTACGTAACGTGCGGTGATTCCTGGGTATAGCTCGTGAAAGACAACAGTGTTCTTGTCTTTGTTTGCTTCAAATACCTATATTTACGATTGATTAAAAAAAATGTGAAAGCATTACACAAAAGATATGTGAATTGTGAACGCAGTAAGAAGAATTGATGGCCAACACATTCTTAGCGCCTAATCCAAACATTTTCCTGCTTATTGCTTTTTGAAAAAAGACCCCTCGTTAGAATGACGGCTATAAATAACGAACTTGAGTCTACTTTAAAATTATCAACTAGCGTTTCGTTGTTAAAGTTTCGGTACCTTATTTTTAATATATTTTCACAGAAACTCTTCCCTAAATAGACGTTTGAAGTTGCCTTTCTGTAGCATGGTGATTAAAATGGATGATTCGATTCGTCACCTACGTGCTTTTATATCACACATAGTGGAACATTTTCTTTACATTATCTGACGATAACGTAGATCGGCGTAAGCTTGAATATAAAAGAAGTACAGTAGCTCAAGGTCCATTTCAACTTCCTTTAATGTTGACGGTTATTGCGTTTTTGCCGCTGATATAACGCGGTTTGGCGTTGCGCCCTCTGTTTTGCTCGCGGAAATCTAACACATCGTCAAATTCTATTCCAACAAAGCTACTCACTGGCCTGTTTCTGCCTACTGAAACCTTGCCATAACAACGCTTACACACGCGTAGACATTTTAAATATGGCTGGCTTTGAATTGAAACCTTCAGTTGGTGCATGGGTCGCCTACCTCCCGGCTAAGACGATATTTCCTTAAGATGCATTTTCAATTATGGACAATCATCTTTAGACAGTTCTACAATTAATTTAAAGGATAGCCCTAAAAATGCTCACCTTCTCAGTAGCTTGGCCTTCTTCCTTATAGTATTTGAAGTATTCTCCCTCTCTCCCGTATCGTAGCTTATACTTTTCTACCCAGCTGTAATGTTTATCTCTATAACGACCTTGAGTAGCTACACGTGTTATTCGGTATTGACTGCCAAGATCAATCTGGAGCCACTGATTGGCATCGTTAACTTTTGCTACCCAACCTCCTGCCTCCTGGTCGTTTTCAATGTAAAGTCGTGCCCGACTTGGGCGAGACCCCTCTGCATAATATGTAGAAGCCGTTATTTTTTCGTCGGGGATCGCGCCATTCTCCATTCCAAGAGCTTTTTGACATTCTATGGATGGACAATTAAGTAGTGCGGTTATGCAGACGGTTTATTTTGATCACAGAAACAGGTTAAATTAAAATTTCACATTGATCCCCGACCCCTTAAGACGCGAAAAAAAAAATGCCAATGAGTTTCAACTTAAACCATCGTTGAAGGTTTCTTGAGAAGTCTAGCGAACTGCTTTGATAAGCGCCATCCTTCTTAACAGTGTTAGAAAATCACATTAGTATTCTACGAATATCATCACTGTGTGACAGTGTCCTTAAAGGATAGCGGAAATCAGACTTTTGTAAAATACCTTGGCATCCATATAGATCCACTCTCATTGATATATGATCATGCCAAGCTCCTGGCAGAAAACGGACATAACGAGCTCTTATTGGTGGAACTAGGTCATGTGATACAACGCTGTCTGCGTCTGTGTTTCCTTCGAAAACCTACGTAATAATAACACTGTCAAAGGAGTTGTTTTGCTAAACGAGAAGAGTAGAAAGGAAGGAAGTTACTTTTCTGCATTATCAATTCTTGTTGAAACTCCGTTTTTTCTCGCCCACGTCATAAGCAGGAAAGAGGCGAACTATTAATCTTTTCACTCCTAAGATATAAAAATAAATTCTCTTTGGCATTTCTCGTAATCTCGCCTCTGAAAATTTGGTGTCGAATCCAGTCATAACGGTGCTTGCTCACCTTGTTAATGTCTTGATTGTATTCCTTGTAGTGGTGCAAGCTTACTGCATCATCACCGTACTGCAGCCTGTATTGAGTCACCCACTCCTCGCTGCCATTTCGTCCTTGTGTTGCCACACGTGTTACTTTAACATAGTATGTGCCCACATCAACCTGAAGCCATTGGTCGGTGTCATTGTGTAATGCGGCCCAAGAACCTTCCCGATGAGGCAACTCTTTTTCCAGGTGAAGTCTTCCAAATTTAGGAGCTAGATTGCCATTCAGCATAGACGAAGCTTTGAGCTGACCGTCAGGAATTTCGTTAGTCTCCACTCCTAATGATTCTTGGCACTCTAATCAATCAGGTTGGCAAAATAGACAAAACATTGGCGTTAACGTAGTTATGAAGGCTTTAAAGAAAGCTTACACTGATTTGATGTCTGAGTAAAATGGATATGCGGTCAGTACTTTGCATGTTCAGAACTTAGCTCAGTGCCACCTGTAGTTATTTCTTATTGCCTTCTTTTTGTTGTGGAAAAGGAATGAGTAGGAAATAGAAGTAACTTAGGGGTCAGAAACTGCCTCCTATATTGCGAAAATAGTTTTCATTGTATCCACCACAGGGGCGTAGCCAGGATTTTCCAAAGGGAAAGGGGGGGTCACAGAGGCTACTCACCATTTACACCACTGCTCTCGCGTGTGTATCAGCGGGCTCAGTCGTATTATCGTATTATCGCGGCATAAAGGCCCGTATTAATTAAATACAAGAACCGTTGACAAAGATACTTCACAAAAAAAAACAAATTTTTGAAAAAGTGGGCTTTTCAACAATGGCTTTTCGGCCAAGATATTGTCATGGCGTTTTCGCCACCGGAATATTGTAGGTTGTTTGCTCTAAAGAAGGCCTACCAAGGGGGGGTTACGGGCACCCCAGGACCCCCCTGGCTACACCCTTGCACCATTCAATACGATACCTTGACAGCCATAAAGTTCCACTCTCATGGATATGTGAGAATACCAGGTAACAGAATGAAATCGGATGTAACGAGCCCTGATTGGTGGATCTAGATCAAGTAACACAATTGTATCGCGGTCTGTGTTTCCAGTAAATACCTGAAGTAACAAAGTGAGATGAAATCTAAATAAAACCGAACATTGCCCGTAACACAGGAAAAATAAAGTATATGCAAGTCGCTATTGACTTTATTTTCAAGTGTTACCAACTAAATTGATAAAAATGTAAATTGGCCATCGAATTGAGTTTTAAAGCTGACATTTCGAGTGTTAGCTCTTCGTCATTCGCTCTGACGAAAGGCTAACGCTCGAAATGTCAGCTTTGAAACTCTTTATGGGGGCGAATTTACATCATTAACTCGGTTGATAAAACCAAAATTACCTTCATGTTGGTACTCCCACCTACAAAGCACCACAGTTTCTTTAGAAACCTACCCCCTTTATGTTGTTGGTTTTATTATAGTACTAGTTAGCTATGAGTGGCTGCACAGAGCGAAATCAATTCAAACGGCGGTTTTCTTTTGACTTTCAGTTGCAAATAGCCATATCTCACCTTGTGAATAATTTGCCCGTGTTCCATGTAATATTTGATGTTCACGCCGTCGTTGCTATACTGAATTTTGTACTCAGTTACCCACTGATTCGCGTCATGTCTTCCCTGTGTTGCCACACGAGTTACCGCATTATAAACAGTACCCAGATCAACCTGTAACCACTGATTACCATCGTTAAAGTGAGCTGACCAAGCTCCTTGTAAGTTGTTGTGGCGTTGAAAATTTAATCTACCTTGTGCAGCAGAATGAATCGCATCATATTCAGTAGAAGCACTGATCTGACCATTAGTTATTACACCACTTTCCATACCATGATCATCTCGACATGCTGAAAGTTTGATAAAAACAAACATATTTTAGGATTATATTTTACGCTAGGATAGCTCTATGACAACTTAATGGCCACTTAATTTACGGCATCCTTCCTTACGCTTATCTCAAGATTTTAGTTAAAATCAAAAGTTTCTTTTCTTTTTTTTTGTTTTGTCTTTTACATTGGATTAGAGTGGGCCATCTTAGCTTATACAGAGGAGAATCGGGCGTCGGCCGTGCATTCTTTGAGGACCCTGTGTTTGGCTGTTCTTTTTGCCATCTCACCCGCTATTATTATTTATTGTCGAGCTCATTTTGGACAGTGTTTCTTTAAGACTGCTTTAGGTAACCTTTTCTTCTGGAACCCTGTAGATTCTATTTCAGGACACTACAGGTGATATTTTCCCCAAGCATCCGAAGCGTATGTCCATTGCTCTTTCCAAAATATGAGATAGGTGTCCAAATACACTGCTATGACACTTCCCAGGCCCTGATTTTAATATTGATGTATTTTGCTAAAATTTTATTGGAAGTTATGCAATCCGCCTCGATTAGCGTTGCTACATGCGGGTTGTATAAATTTATAAACTTGTTAAATTGTTTGTTATAATAAATAAAGGTGTGTTGTGTGTGGGTGTGTGTTGTGTGTGTGTGTGTGTGTTGTGTGTGTGTGTGTTGTGTGTGTGTTGTGTGTGTTGTGTGTGTGTTGTGTGTGTGTGTGTTGTGTGTGTGTGTGTGTTGTGTGTGTGTATTTTATCCTATTTTTCGGCCTCACATCCTCTCGCACGAACGGTGTGAAAGGACCTCAAGCATGCAGATCGAAATCTTTCATTCTAGCTTTATTTTTTTCTATCTTAAGGTTAAGCTTTGCATTTTTTGGCATAGAAATAAATTATCTTCCGTTTATCTAGGATGTTACCTTTTAAAAAGGAAATTACATTTGAAAGCAAACCAACGCTGCTCTATGATATTGTAAAATCAGGAAATGATTAGGCTTTCTGTTTTTCTAAGGTACAAAATGTGCTCCTATTATCAATGTGGTTGTTTCAAAGGCTGGTCTTATGAAGGAAGTCTACTGTTGTTATGGTGATGAGTTGATAGTTAAACAGATGGCTAGATGTTCTTGTTTTTTAACCGAATTGAGACCTAGATCTTACACCATACCTTGACAGCCGTAGAGTTCTGCTCTCATTGATATGTGTCCATGCCACTCTCTTGGTCGAAATCGAACAAAGCGTGCTCTGATGGATGGATTTAAGTCATGTGATACAACGTAGTTCTCGTCAGTGTTTCCCGTAAAGAGCTAAGACGGTACATTGATAAAAGTTAATCATGAAGCAATATATATCGGAAGTTCCCTTGTGCCCAAGGCGGCAATTCAAGAGGGTATGGTTACGAGGATTTGAGTAACGATTTTCAGTTCCAAAGGAATGATACACTAACATAAAAACTGTCGCCAATTGTAATCGAAAAGATTTTTTTTTCTAACAAGTAATACAAGAACGTATTTATTTGGGGCTTATATGTATGTTAGAGCTCTGCCATGAAATACACACTTCTATCTATATAGTCCATATTGTGTCTTCGTCATTGAAGCTTCGAAAAGAAAGTATATATCGCAAAATCTGTTTTCTAACACAAGGACAGAGTACCACCATCCAAGAGCGTTGCTAGAGAAATTTCGTTGGAATCTAAACTTGACAGAGACCTTGAAATATGATTAATACGATCATTAAGACGATTTTACTGATGTCTTCTCCATTAAATCCAGGAAAGACAAGAATTGGTAAACTAGGACAAGTGAAACCGCCACGGAACTACGCATAAATGATAGCATGGAGTTATTAGTGGGACAGCCTCTTAAAATATAGGATATTATGTTACTGACTACAATCTATTTTATAAATCAGCCCTCGATCGTACCTTGTCTGTGCCGCTACCTTCCTCTCTATAGAAATTAAAATTGAGGCCGTTGTCACTGTACTGCAGTTTGTATTTCTTAACCCACTGGTTCGCGTTGTGTCTGCCTTGTGTTGCAACACCGTTCACATTGAAGAACTGACTGCCCAGATCAATCTGAAGCCATTGCTTGACATCATTTGTGCTAGCGGCCCAAGCTCCACGGTTCCCTGGCCCCCAATGTAGTCTGCTGTGAATGGGGGCGAGAGAGTCGCTGTGTTTTGAAGAGGCACTGATTTGTCCGTCAAGAATTTCACCACTTTCCATACCCAGGGCTGCTATGCATTCTAGAATTCAGTAGCAACAAATCCTAGTTTTAACATCAAAGTACTATTTACCCGTAAGGGAGTTATTCATATTCATTACAACATAATAGCGAACAAATCAAATGGCTTGATTTGCCAACTAGGCTGATTGTGTATATACTTATAACCAATAGAACACATTCGAAATTGCAGGCTTAGATACCGCGAGTACCTTCTTTTGCTATCAACACTACAAGCTCCCAGGCTTCCTGGTAGCGACTTAACTTTTTTCAGTCTTCCGTGCCTGGGTGCATATCTATCATCATCATTATAATATGAAGAGGCGCTGATCTGCCTATTTGCTATTTCACCGCTCTCCATGCCAAGAGGTGTAAAACACTGAACAGATATCGAAAAAGTAGTAAGAGAGAGAAGTCAACAGATGGTTCAAGATGGTAAAGAAACATCCTGTATCATCAGAGGTTCAAAACCTCGCTATTTATTGAGAAAGTGTATTTTTTATCCAGTGCATGTCGTGAATAAAGGCGTTTCTTGAAGCCGAAGCAAATTTATTGCCACAGCCAATCAGATATGGACTTTTCACTTCAAAAACCAAACATTACCTCGAAGAAAGAACATGGAAGCGACCAGCAAGTTGGGAAACGAGGATAACAAGGCCTAACCAACTTTCGACACCACATACATATTGTAAAACAAAAATAGCAACTATAACAATAAAATACTGATGATAATAAGTAAAACAGGTTAGCAATGTCATAGCATAGTATTGTAAGCAATGTCAAAACTGTCAGAAACTTTTGCCTCCAAAGAAAATAGTATCGTAACCAAACAAATAAAATTCATTAGTTTTGTAAGCATTGCGAGTATTGTAAGTATTGTTGTTTTGTTAATTTTAGCAGTAACTTTTTTTTATTGTTGTAAGTAATGTCAGCCCTTCTTGTAGTAATTTTGCAAGTATTCTTGTTGTTTATTTTTGGCATTGTTAAAATCAATAATACTTTAAAATTGATAAAAGGCTCCGTGGATAACTTTTTCTTGGAAAGGACGGATTCTATCAGAAAAGACATCAATGTTTGTTGAACGTACCTGCCTGAGCAGTCTTGATGGCTTGGATGGTTATTATAACTACAATAAAAAGGCCAGGGTTCTGCAAGAAACAATAGGTGTTTTCCGTCAAAATGCATGAATGTGCCTTGTCCTTCCATAAATGATGATCTTGTATACCGTTCCTATTTCAGTCTTATTCGAACAATCTAATGATTTTTTAGATATGAAAATTTTAATCAACACGATCGTGGTCTGAGCTACTCACAAGTACTTTGTTACCATAGAAACTGAATGTTTATTCGTCCCTTCAGGAGCGTGGGACACGGAGTACAACTTCAATAGGGACCTTAAGCAGTCACTGACGGCAACGCCAAGGAAGACTTCGATTAAAAAATGAATTTCTACTCTTAGTTAGAATTTCAAAAATGGCTGCATAAGCTTACTGTCTCATACGGTGCCACAGCTCAACTTCAGCATGACGTATAAAAGTAGCGTTGAGTTCCAAATGGAAATTAAAATAATTTGCCGTCGCGGTTTCGGTTCGCAGACGACGCAAATTTTGGCGATTTCACGTTGTTGTTTTGCATAGGACGGCTAAGAAATGTACAAAGTTTCAAAA